CAAATCAAAGGTTAGGGTAAAGTGCACAAAAATTTGAAAGGTTTGGGACCTTTGCTGCAATTATCCCTAAATTATATATTCTCCCGCAGTGGCCGGCAACTTTTCTGAGAAGAAAAAGGAAAGTGGCTGAAATTGAAATATATAGGAGAAGTCAATTTGTACACAACTGTTTTTTGTTTTTTCTGTCATTTTGTACTCACATGTGAGTGGGCTCCATGTGAATAAAATATTATTATAAAAAATGGGGCCCACCCCAATGTGTCTATTCTGTGATTTTCATATAATTGATTTTTCTGTAATTGTAACATCTTTCAAATATATATATACAAAACACGCATAGTGGGCAGCAAGCAATTAATATATATAGACACACACATTGAGCAGCTAATTTGGACGCACAAAAAGTGGAGGAAATTGGCCGGCAACACGTAATTTGGATATTATTCACGTTCCGTCAATTTTTGGTGATGTATTTTTACTTTTGCGTGTTTAATTTCAACGTTATCAGTGGCTAAATACTTTTATGTTAGGATGGATGATATAGATTAAGGTTTTTATTATATGTTTAATTTCAAGATTTTCATGCCATTTCAATACTTGTTAATTAAGTATTGTGTATTTAATGCTATTATTTGTTTGCGCATTAATTAATTGATTTAGGGATAATACTGAGATATAGAGGTGATGTATTGCAGCAAAAATCCTAACCATCCAATCACATAATCTTACCTACAGTTTTAATTTGAGTTTGTTATTTTATTCAAGGAAAATTGCAGCAATGGTCGCAAACCTTTGCCTTTTTTGCAGACTTTACACTAACCTTTGTTTTGTGCCGCGGAGGTCCCAAACCTTTCAAAAATATACACCGGAGGTACAATGGATGGGTTCATCCATTTGACCGTTAGTTAACCAAACAAATTGATTTGACCAATTTTAGTAATGGTAAAATGGTAAGTTTGCATTTTATATTTTTCCAAATATTATTAACAATTAAACTAAAATCCAAAAAGAAAATATGCCCCATCCACCCCCACGCCATTTTCCCCTTCAACTCCGGCCAGCCACCACCCAAATCACTGGACATATATACCACTAGAAAGCCCTCACCACCCTCTACAACTTCGACCCAATGCCCTGCCTCAAACCCACCTGAACTCGCCGAAAAATTAAGCCAAAACAGCCTGTTCGAATCCCCCAAAATGGCTAAAATCTCCAATTCCGGCAACACCCATGCCATGCCCAACATTCCAGGTAATTACACACATTAAGGCGCCCCTGTAAATGGTCATCAATCATCCTTATACGCACAGAATCAAAACCAGCAAGCTACATCTTCGAACACAGCAACTTCACGACTTTCAGATGGCTTTTCCAGTGTCGGTGGTAGGACCCATGATTACGGACAACCACCACAAGCACCTACTCTTCATGACGCGTCCAATGAACATATGGGTCTTCCCCACTTTGACCTGAAATGATAATTCATTCTTTCAATCGATTTTGGTTGGGGGTTCAATTGATTTTGTTTGGGGGTTCAATCGATTTTGGTTAGATTTTGTTTGTTTTGTATTACGGTAGTCGACGACAGATCTGGTGGTTTTACAATGGTGCGTGGCGATGGAGACATGATGGCTTATAGTTTGGTTGGATGTTGGGGGTGGAGAGAGTGAAGTTGGGGAAGAAGAAGGAGACGGGGATGGGGTGACGTTTGAGGGCGTGTGAATTTTACGAATGATGAAAGAATATATTCGACCATTAAGGGTCGGGAATTGAAATAACTCATAAATTCATTATGCGATACTTAATTCTTCGCACACAAACGTCGATTTTAGTTTTACATTGGAAAAATAGATTTTAATTTTCGTATTGTGATTTTGAATCTGTAATTAAATTTAATATTATGATTTCAATCTATAAAAAGCCATGATAGCCAGCTAAATCTTTTTACTTTGCTTGATTGACTGGCCACCAATTAGATAATAGTGCATATTTGTGTGTTTGTTAGGTTTTAGTTTTGTTTGAGGACAAATAAAAAGTCAAGTCTGGGAGCGTGGCAAGTATAGTTTTTATACCTATTCGAGATGCTAAATAATGATATTTTATTGTCTTTTGAATTAAATTTTACCTAATTTATGTTAAATTTTATTTTGTAGGTAAAACTTTAAGTTTAGTGAATAATTGAAGTAAAGAATGCAAAATAGCGAAAAAATGGAAAAATTCATAGTACTAGGACTTGGAAGGAAGCATTAAATTAAGAAATAGGTCATAAAGTTTACTTTTCAAAATTCAGGTGATAAATAAGATTATTAATTATATTATTTTCTCTCTATATCCCAAATCTCGTGTACGCCACTGCCAGACAAGACGCCACCACGATCTCCACACTCAAGGGCCCACCACCGAGCGGCGTCGCTCTAAAGAAGCAGCGCTGCGACAATCCCAAACCAAGATCTCTCTTCTTTCTCTATATCTCTCTCTATCACCCACTCTACCAACCCACCCACCCCTCACACTCTCTGTACCATCTATCCGACGGAGCATAATCGCCGGAGAAAAAGCTACAAGTAGATCTTTCAAACCCTAAAATTCTCACCCTCGTTCTTTCCATCTTCTATTTCTTTACACACCTAACCACCCACCATCTCCAACATCACCAGCTGCAGCGAAGCTTCTCGTCGCGTCGACGACGACGTCGCTGCTGCTGCAAGCAATAACGAGCTCTACTCACAATAGCGCTGTTTAGTAATGGGGATGTGGAGCCTTTTGACAACAGTACATGGTCGGTGTAATGGTTGATGTCTGGATGAATCGCACAATATAGTTTAGTTTCAGTAGAAGATCTAGTTCCATTTTCTTTACTATTCCTCTTTCGGATTAGTGGTTTGTATATTCTGTAAACAATTTACTGGGAACACCTTTTTGTGAATTCAATTAAATCTTGTTTCTTAATCTATTTGTGCATTCCTATTTTCCCTTTGTTTACAGTAATACCAACGTTGTCCGCTGGTTAAACTCCAGGCCCGTTGGTTAAACTCTGGTAGTTTGTAATTTGTTTTGTTTGTATTTTGTGGTTTTTGTTGGTGATTATTGGTTGTTGTTGGTGGTGGTGGTGGTGGTGGTGGTGGTGGGGTGGTTATGGTTAGGTGGTGGTAGTGGTGG